TCGATACTTTGAATCAAATTGTTCAAACAGTAAATAACGCAGAATTCATTGATGAAGGATAAACAAAAAGTCTATTGATCAATTCATACTATACTACTTACTTACTTACTTACGCCTGTTACCCCCAATGGAGCATAGGCCGCTCACCAGTTTTCTCCAATCAACTCTGTCCTGGGCTTCCCTCTCCAGTTCTGCCCAATGTTTGTTCATTCCTCTCACATCTTTCTCTATTTCTCTATGTAATGTGTTCCTTGGCCTTCATCTTTTCCTTTTGCCTTGAAGGTTCCATGTGAGGGCTTGTCTCGTGACGCAGTTAGGTGCTTTTCGTAGTGTGTGTCCTATCCACTTCCACCGCTTCTTCCTGATTTCCTCCTCCACTGGAATCTGGTTTGTTCTCTCCCACAGTTCGTTGTTGCTGATGGTGTCTGACCAACGAATCCGAAGTATTTTGCGCAGACAGATGTTAATAAACACTTGTATCTTCTCGATGATGGCTTTGGTAGTTCTCCATGTTTCCGCTCCATACAGTAGAACTGTCTTCACATTTGTATTAAAAATTCATACTATATTACATTATGAAAACTTGGTTTCATTAAAATTATATGCCGACTGTTATCAGACAATCATTGGAAATTTGAGGACACTGAACGGCCGCTTCATTCTAGCATAGGAATCTTCGACAGTGCGCTTCCACAACTCCATAAATGGAAATCAAAACCGGGACCTTCAGTCTCGCATGAGGACGCCGAACTTCTTGACCACTGAGCTAGCATTCGACGGTGTTTGATGTCAACCCACGATATTGTGCAACCATCATCCATTATCTTTGGTAAGAAACAGTCTCTCATCGGAGACGGTTGAATTTTCTCACAAAGCTTCCAAATTTCCAATGGTTGTCTGACAGTGATCAGTTTATGATTCCAATGAAACTCGACAATCTCCACAACCTAACAATGAAAACCTAGTGTTATTTTCCTTGCTTAACATACAAGGAATCTTCTAAAATATTAGGAAGAATAACATCACTGCTTAAAAAAATACTGACAACTTATGTAGCCATTTGCATTAAAAAAATGCAACATGAGATGAAGCAAAAATGTGTTAACTAGGAGTTTATATCATAAATTTCAATTTGTGTAGTGAAATTTAAAAAGCCATAGCTTTGATATAAGTTAGGTTAGATGATATGAAAATATAAAAGTATCGGATAGTTTACAGATTTACGATAAATTACATAAATTTATCATAATCTGTCATAAGTGAATATCTGACAGAAATGTGAAGTATAATTCAGTACTTAATAAATTAAAAAAAAGAAGTGTTTCAAATCTCATATTGGTGCCTTATTCTCACTCATACACTATCTGTTGTTGTTTTTTGTTGTTAGGATGGTTTAGTTTCAAGTTGTAATGAAATTTTCAAAATAAACACTGTGAATTGAATTAAGAGTGAAAAGAGAATTGAAAGTGAAGTAGATAATATTCTTTCACATTGTCCGATTTAAAATCGCAATTTTGGTAAATTAAATTTCTAAATCTTTGACAGTTACAGGCAAAGATGATTAATAGTTCTTTGAATTGAAGCTCAGTACAAGTGATCGGAAACTTTCTAAGCATAATTCATTTTTTTTACACAGAATAAGATATTCTTTGAAGTACCAAAAATATTTCTAGACAAAGTAGTGAAATTTGTGTCAACAAATTAGTTCACTACATTCGAGTTTTCTTATCATTAATCTCATCTAAACCTACTTAGAGATTTATGCATTAGAAATCTATATTAATCCACTTACTTTCTGACTGGAAACAATGTCAGCTAGAGTAATTAACACGCGGTCAAATGTATTATAATGAAATTCTATCTGAGCTGAACTGTAAAACTGTTATGCTCGTCACTTGCTATGCTTGGGACTATTACGGGTTCACCTTAGTCGATAAACGAGAACGAGACAATGAACTAGTGTCCGGGTAGGCTACTCTGATCCGTTGACCCAAAAGAACTAACGAAAAAGTCTTGATTTAGCGTAGAAAGTGTATTCTACAAACACCCAGCAAGCACAATGAATCAAGCACGCAAATCGCGTTTACTTATACGTTATAGTAAAGTCCTTGGGAGAGTCATAATAATATGAGACTAAAATAACACAATAACCAATCGCAACCAAGGACTTTCCTGCTGGTAGATGTGATCTCAAGGTCAACTGATCAGCCTATGAATAGAATCTAAAATTAAGGCATTTATTGAGCGAGTTCTGGGGATCTAACGTCCACAACAAAAACCTACACTCTGATGTTCAGTTTCTATAGTCCCTAGGTTAACCAAACAAGTTAACTGAACATATTTCAAATACATTATAAAGATAAACAAATGTTTATGCAAAATATTTTATTACAGAGAAAACTAATTTATGAATTTACACAAGGCGAATCTAAACTAATAAGATTATTTACCGTTCGCTCATTGACAAAAAAACCAAGAATTTATTGAGCGATTGTCTTACTGATAGCTAATTAATCATGTTTTACAATTGTTTGCTGGAAGGTTCACAGGATGAAACTGAAATGAGATAAACAGTCACCTTTCGAATTCCTTGAATAATCAAAACAAATGAACATATTCAAATATTTATGACAACATTCACCTTTAAAACGCTCATCAAGTTACGCTGCCTAGGCATTCGACTATGGTTATGGTAGGTCTGAAACGTGACCAATCTCTAACTACTTAATGGTTTGTCTTATTGTGTATATAACAAATATAGGTCAATGAGCCATATTTCTATATTTCTCCGTATTTTGAAGAATATATAACTTCTATAATAATAATGTTAATAGCAATAATTCATACAGTGATATGACTAGTGAAACATAAGTTTTGTATTAGAGTATTAGGATGATATCTGTCTTAGATAATATTTATACACCTGTTATAAAAAACCATTGTGATGATTTTGGCTTCAAATTTACGTACAAATCTATGTTGCTAACTAAAATATATCTTCGAGATTTTTCATGAAATAATGTATTTACTTAATAATATCGGAGTTTGAAAAAAATCAGATTTCTGATTTACGCCTTTCACAAAGCTCTGAATAAAACAATGATTTTTGGTTTAAACCATGAATCAGTCATTGTTAGACTGTTGTTGGAAACCTGGAAGCACTGAATGGCTGTTTCCTCCTAGTGTGGTGCAAGCTACTTATAAGTAGTATATGACGTGAGTGTCAACGTAATGTCTGGCAGCAGAAGATGGGGGAAGATCAAGAAAGGAAGAGTTAGAACACCATGGAATTTGTATAAAACGCATGAATAGTGACAATGGATTGATGTTTTGCAACAGGAACAGTCCAGTTCGATATGATGGACTGATAATTTGCAAATTAACGATTTACGATATGGTGTTCCTATTTTACTGAGTAACCCTGTAATTTTCGTTACATACAATCCAGCTGCCCCACCTGTGTTCTCCTTCACTACATTAGTATTGGACTCATCTGCAGTGTGCATACATGATATCTGACTGCGAGGACCGAACCCGGGATCTATGGTCTGCTGTTAAGCCCCATACAATGACGAAACGGCCGTTCAGTACTCCCAGGTTTCTAATGGTGGTCTAACAATGATCAATTCATAGTTTCAATGAAACTCAAAAATTCTCACAACTCCGTAATGAACATTATTATCAACTTTATTCCACAGAATTACTATTGATCTAACGGGAAAATTATTCTTCCACTTACTGAAAACTTTCAGCTTTATAATGTTTCTTGTACTGTTAGAAGGATCATGTGCCATTTTCATATAGATTAGGCAGCTCCCAGTTATCTAACGTTTCCATTTATTCAATTAATTTCAAATAATACCATTATCCGGTAGAATGATTCATCTTAAGCACTTCTACATTCATAAACTTCAATAATAGTTTCAGACCACTATTGTCTATAAGCAAAGTATATTCAGAGTAGCTCTTATCATTTATATCGGGTTATGGTCACTTTAAAAAAGTTATGATTACATTTCTGCTGATTAGTTGGTTTTTTGAATTGATTTCGCTATCTAGGCACTTGTAATCATACATATTAAAAATCAAAACCAACAGTATAAAACGATGAATAGATACGTGAACAAAGCTGACATTACCAGTCCTTATAGTATTATTTACGCTAACACATGACATAGACTTAACAAATTATCATGGGAACTAGAGTAATCTATTGTAAAAAAAATTCAGTAATCAATGTTTTTGTCAATGTACTACTACCACTCGGTCCTTCAAAATCAGTTTTCTTTAAAATTTACAGCTTCTATGATTGACTTTCATAAAAAGTTTTATTTGTAAATGTTAAATTTAACGTTGGTTTTATTCTCTCTCACCAAAGAACAACTCACTGACTTTAAACTTTACGGAACAATGGTATAGTGGTATTGCAAGGGCGTGGAACTTCACCTATTAAGTCCATGATATTAGAAACTTTTGAATCGAACGACACAAGTAAGAACACGAAAGTATCAGATGAAGATTTATTGGATATCCGCAACAAACCAAAATGATATAAGAATACATCAATTCTATGTGGCTTATGAATAGTCGAATTTGTATAGGCTCAGGTGAGAAGCATTTAAAATCAATTAATCAATAGCTTACTCTGTAAACTCTTATTTCTAACATCCTATAATTATGCATCTACAATCAACAGATATAACTAACACTGAATAAATTATATTATTAATCCTTATAATGTGATCAAATTGTCTTTTCTTTCCTATTCCCTCTTTTTTTTACCAATTCAAAAGAAGAATTCAACCAATACTAAGGTTTACATTATGACTATAACTTATACTATCCAAATGGTAAGAAAGTATGCAATCAATTTTAAGCAAACAGTAAAAATCATATAGATCAACAATAATCACTGAAAACAATTATTAAATGGTATAGATTTCTATTAATTTTTCATGATTTTACAGACATAATAAATTATCTATCGAATAGAATATAATTTAGCTACCTACATTTGACAATGTTGGAATTGATCTATGACTGTGAAATACACCCAAAGGTAATTGCATAGCTAAATTATCTAATTTTAAACGTCCCAATGGATCATCACGTTTAAATAATACTTCTAAGAATGGTCGTGAAAATGTAAAACTAACAATGATATAAAGACTTTGTAAAGCTACAAAAATTCCATAGAATTGCCATATAATAGCATGACATATATAATTTGATATGAATGCAATAATCCATAAGAAAGTATGACTTATTGCTATTTTACTAAGCATTCGAAAACGTGCTTTCACATCTAATGATTGTGATGAAAATTGATTCTGTATTAGACAATTTGTATCCGTTTTAACTGATATTAAAATAATAAGAATAATAGTCCCAAAGCATAGAAAAGCAACTGGTATATGCATTAACCATTGATGAGCAGTTAAACAACTACCTAGATTACCGCAAGTAATAATTCCATAAGCAGGATTCCATGCATTATTCAAATCTAAATAATATGATGCCCAAATTCCGTAAGTTACTGGGAAAATTGGTAAACAGATAACACTAAATATTACAATAAGATTCCACATCAGATTATCATACATATTAATATCACTTTTAATGACACGTGGAAGCATGTTGCTCGGATGTCTTGAATATCCATTTTTCAGTGCTATGAATCTCGTTTTTCTTTCTCCACCTTTACCAATGTGTTCAAACGTTTTAACTGTTTTGAATTTATTTTCTGGTTGTGTTGTAGCATACTGAAGATGTTCTACAATATTACCCTTTGGTATACCGGTTATTGTGTATGGTTCAGTAAACCAATCATTGTATTTTACTTTTTGCTTAGACTTAACTGGATGTTTTGCATTTTTCCCCAAAAAATGAAATGATTTGAAATTCCATGTTTGTTTTTTAATACATGAATGCTTGCGGCATCGTTTCAAGTGTAAATAACGTTCAATCAGACCGAAAAATATCCCAAGATATATTGAGAGAATGAGATAATGTGTTAGCATATCCATAAACCAGCAGTTAAAAAACATATTTTCTTTAATAAAATAAGTTACTTTCGTATCAGTTAAATTGAAGCCAATTGTCGACGGGATGTATGCACTAAAAAATAAAACTCCACTATGTAATGAATTGAATAAAATGATAAGTGATAAACAATTACCATAAAGTCTTCTCAAACCTTTATTTACAAAAATCACCATGATAAAATGAGCGAACATTGTTACTGAAGCCACTGCCATACTTATATGTGCAACTGTTGATTGACTTCGTAATATTGGACAATTAGAATTAAGTAGTCTGGAATATGTTTCATTTAAATAATTAATTTGAAATGTATCACCATGAATCATAACAGTGTTTTCATGCATACTATTGGTCGCATAATAGGTAGAACTCGCCGATTTTGTAGAATATAATTTAATTGATCTTTGGTGATAATCCATACAATCGTAAATTATTTCTGAAACACTTTTTGGAAATCCAATAAAATTAGATAAGTCAGGCTTCTTAATTTCCATTTTCTTTTTCTGTACATATAAAAGCATTCCTGATAATTTACTACATAGTTTTCTCTAATTTAAAATATTATGGTGTTTTTCTTATTAAATAGTTGTAATCTATTCATGATAAAAATAAATATTGTCATGATACTGATGATTCTAGAATAAAAATGAATATTTATAGATGTATATGTATAAAATTGAACGTGTCTAATAATGTTACCAAACAATTAACTTAACAAAGGAACATATACCAACAAATGCTTAATAATATCCAATCGTAATAAGTCAGAAAGACCAAGCATATGATTGGTTAGTTATAATTGTGTACAAGTTTTCAGCCTTGAATCAATGATAGAAAATAAATGGCTTTGTACCGTGTGAAAATTAACTTAAATGCGAACTGATTTATTTATAATTGTGAAGATCGGTAGTAAAAAAAATACTGAATTAAATAAGTTGAGTCAATGAATCATGTCAGTAAATATGTTTTTCATGCTATGTATACAAAGTATACAAATATGATCACCCTATCAATAAACTTAGTGCCCAATCAGAATTTTTGCAAAATGTTTATTTTTTCTCACGACTGAGGTTATAAAATTCCCCATATGATCTTCAGAACAATATCTTCATGATTTTCTGAATTTACTGTGCATTGTATTGAGATTGTGGAGAAAATTTATAGCTCAGGTGGATGATTGTGGTGGTGTGCTTTGTATTGTCACGCACCTAACTCTTTTCATTTCTATTCTAACAAATGAGCGTAGAAAATGTTTTCTTTTAATAAAATTAATTGCTTGAAATGACTGTACAGATACATCTTAAAAAGTAGAAGCTCTCAATGAGTTTATGGCTGAAGAATATCACAAGTGACGAATGTCTGATTTCATTTTTGAAAAAATACTACTTTTGTCTACATTTTAACTGCATTTGTTTATTAAAACATAAATTCCAGTCACCTTTTCATCAGCATTCATACTTGATTTACATTTTAAATTATAACCACTTCATCTGAACATTCATACAGCAATAATGAAATTTGTCGAACTTAGGTGACACACTAATTTTGACATGAATATAAGAAGTAGCTTCGCCTTTTCTTGGAATTTCTTTTAAATTTCTTTGAAAATTATACAGATCATCTAGGTTACTTCTATTACTGATAATAACTTTATGAGTGGTTGATTCGAATGAATCATTCAACATACTGAAGTAAACCAAATATTTTTTAACCTAACTGTTTATGAAATCTAACGCATCCGTATGCAAAAGTCAAGTAAAAATTGGGTAGTAAAGAAATATACGTATAATTTTCAATTGATTATATTTTTATTTCTTCAGAAAAAATTTATCTGAAAATTTAGTTAATTAATCGAAGTAAAAAAAAACAGTTAATTGTGTCAATCTTTTAAAGTGTACTAGTTAATAAATATAAGTCAAACAATTCAAATAAAATATTTTACTTTAGAATCTATATTAGCTAAATGTATTGTAGAAAGTGATCTTTAAGAGAAATGCTTTCCAACAATAAAATTTACATTGAAAGATTGTTATCATATCTAAAAACTGGAAAATATTGACAAATAACTGTAATCATATAAATCACAGATAGATTTTAAATGCCTGATAATACATGAGCTTTATTTGCTTGACACTTTTTGTAAATACTGTTTATCACTGGAATAAAATAAATCTCCGCATGAAAAAATTTCTGAAAAGGCTTGTAATAAGTAAAAATCAAATCAATTTTCAATCAAAGTCTTACTGATTGTAAAAGATACTGATTCCTGATAAACAATTACAGTGCACCTAGCAAAGTTACAAAAAATTGTGGTACAAAAAATACAAATTTGACTGATTTCATTAATTGAATAAGTAAAACTGTAGGAAAATATTTCTGAAAAACTAGAAAAAGTATTCTTTTTGTTCTAGTCTTAGATTATTATTGAAACATTGAATAAGATTCAATAAAAAAGGCAATAGCCAATAACAGCCGAACAAGAGTGAAGAATGTCAAGGCATAGGCCGAATACACAGAGAAGCATTGGAACTGATAAACGGAAATGTGTAGAAGGCCGAGCAACGAAACTTGGAAGAGTTGCAAGAGAAGGAAATGGGATAACTATGCGATACAAGTGAGGAACAACCTGGATAGCAAACTAGCTTCCAGTTGAGGAAGGATCGAGGATGAAGTGCTAGAGGAAGATAAGTTACACATTGTGGGAATCACCGAATTGTGTCATAATGCAAGAACTCACTTGGAATCTTCAAGGCAGGAGGAAGAGAGGAAGACTCAGGAACAGTTTTCATTGAGGATTTGGGATGATCATCAAAATGGTGACTAGCAGTTGAGCATAACTGTAAAAGGAGCCTATGACAGAGTTGGTTGTAGAATGCTGGTCGGCAGCCAGTGCATCAATAAGGGCAACAAGTGTAAGTAACATCGTAAGTAATTTAATTCCTAAGTCCTAACTGTATGAAATTTCGAAAACATCTTATCATTTGCGGTCAGATCTAGGTTGAGTTAAGGATCTACAAAACAGATTCGTTCTTATTCGTAAGTGTTAAGTTACAACTTCCTTGCTGAGCACAACTAGGCCACTTGATTGAGGTATATACTAATGATTCAGGTCATGGGGGAAAAATGAAGACATTACTTTCAGATCATTTGCTTACAGACGAGGCTTACCTACACAGAAGCGATCGCAAGTATGATTTGTATAAGCTTAAGTGAACAAGGAAACTAAGATACTACATTTTATTACTCCAATCTTGAAGGACACTTAATCCAGCAAGGAGGAGGTTACTCTGATTATCTAGTGTCGGTGACTAGCGAAAAAATGGGATCGAGCTGGCAAAGGGTTTTTGATGTGAGTTTGCCTCTAAGAAGCTGGTGGTCACCTATGTTGGCAGCTTTAGAAAAGTCAAAGTGGTGCACTAATACTCTGTATCATCTACTACGGTGAGTAAAGATTAGGTCGAAAAGGTCAAAAAGCGGGTCATAATAAATTGATTTTTAAGAAAGCCATGCTGAGAATCAGTGATGAGTTTCTCAGTGAGTAAATTGTTGGAAATTTCGTCTCCAACAATCATTTCTATTATGTTTAAGGTAACTGGAGTAACATTTATGGACCGAAAATTGTTCATGTTAGATTTATTTCCTTATTTGTAATGTGATATTATGCATGTGATTTTCCAAAAGTAAGGAGGGTATGAGTCTCCAAAAGGAAATAGTGGTACTTCAGATACATCATATTTGAATGGAATGAATAAAATCTCGTCTAGTCCATGCTTGTTTGAGTACCCAAAGAAAATGATGCCTTTGCTTATTGCTAGATGAGTGAAAGAAAAAGAATTAATGACTTACTAATCGCATAAATGATCTTTGAGCTAGTGCTGGTTAAGAACTCATTACTGTTGGCAGAAATACTACTGAGAAGGTATAGAATGGCTTTACAGTCGTTTATAAATGTGTCATTATGCAAAATACACGGTATGCCTATACTTTGAGAATGCTTATTGAAATAGAGTATAAGGTTTCGTGCTTTTGAGTTGTTGTCAATACTACTCACTCCTAATCGATGTCTTTTAACCTATGTTTTTTCTTAATTTGGATAAAAACTGTGGTTATTTGTACAGTTGCTGTAAAATCCTTTAACTTCAAGTGACGCTTCTGCAGGCATCTTAATTTATTACAATATTTTATTGATAAGAATGATTTGTTGGACCTATTGTTCCTATAGGTTTTAACTGGCATACAGGAATCTAAACATGAATTAGTGATCTGATAGGATGTGTCAATGGTATCCACGAGACTACTACTTGAGAATGATGTATCCCAGTCAGCGAATCTTACCAGATTATGCAGGACTTCCCAGAAAACATATTTGTCATCCCTATTTTGACAAGTTTTTGAGGGTTGGTTATGCGATAGATGGAGTGGGAGAACATCGGCTTCTAGTTTATAGTCACTATTTTCAAATTCGTTGTATCGTTGTATAGATAGTGGGATGATATCCTTAAAAAGTATTAGATCTAATATATGATGTTACTTGGTGAAAACTGTCATTTATAAAACAGTTACTTAACGTATGGATAGAACTTTTACACTATAAAAACTCTACTGGTCAATTTAAGAAAAAAATTTTTAAGTTACTGATAAAAAATATTTCACACATTTGAAACCATGAATCGATCAGTCTTAAATCACCATTAGAAACCTGGGACCACTGGACGGCTGTTTCATCCTGGTATGGGACTCATCAGCAGTGTGCATCCACGACTCCTACACCCCGCAGGATTCGAACCCAGGACCTTCGGTCTTACGCGCGAACGCCTAGCGGGTATTTTTGCAGAATACCACATGAATTTATGCCAGCTTTACTTTTAATTTGTTTCAACATTAAACTTTCGTTTATGGATTTATTTCATACTGTAAATATATCAGTTAAATTGTTGGTCAAAATCATACACAAAAACATAAATTAAAATAATTAGTATGAAACAGTAAGATGATTAACTAGTAGGTGACCTTACTTAACCTAAACAAATCCCTATTAACTTTTATAGCTTTAAAAAAATTAGATCACATCCACTTAACATTAACTTCTACGTTTTATGGCATAATCAAATTGCTTCCTAGATGAATGTTGCATAACTGCTTGTGTATTACAACTATCTAAATAGTTAACATCAAGGACAGATGATAATTTGGTAACCACCGAATATTATGAATGATTGTAAAGATAAATTCTCATCAGTAGTTTGTATCCACAAACCCATCTACAATCGAATCAGTCCGGTATCAGTGAAATGAAATAACATGATCAATAATTTTTGAATAGAGAAAATATGAATTTAAAGCTTATATCTTAAATGCACGTACAATTTGTATTTGTGTTTGAAATCATCGAAATTAATTATTAGGCTACTGAGTCCCGTCGGTCAAAATATAGAAGTGCATTATTATTCGATGTTTACAAGTTAAATATTACGATTAAATGATACTAATAGAAAATGAATACATTTGTTTATCTATGCAT